TACAATTTTTGTACGGATTACAACGGACGGGGAAGTTGAACGGCCTTGGAAAATAAAAATAAATAAAATTCTGAATTTATAACTTATTCAGAATATTAAAGATAAACAGAATTGAAAATAAATTTATATATCTTCAAACAGCCTTCTTGTATGAGGACATTAAGCACTAGACATCGAGGACATTATGCACTGGACAGCAAGGACATTATACACTGGGCTGCGAGGACATTATGCACTACGGCAGAATGCAGTGAAGTCTTTATGAACTAAACTTTTTCCTTCTCCTCTTTTACTTCCCACGTACGGATGCTCTCTAAAAAATGAGAAGGACAGTGCAGCGAGGTCTTTATGAACTAAACCTGCAAAACAAAACACCGTGAAGGACAGCGGAGTCGCCGGAGCTGTCCTTAAAGTAGTAGTGCCCGCCTACCGTACCGGAAAAACGTGGGCACTCTGCTATCGTGTGTGGAGACTGTACGTACCAACCACACTCCAACGAACAAGAACAACGTAGGAACGTTGGCGACCAAAAACTTTGAAGGGAATTGCCGAAAATTTGGCCGGAAAACCAAGAGCTCTCTCAAAAAAATAAACAAGAAAGATTTTCTTTCTTTTTCTTTTTGTTTCTCACGTGAAGCACCACAAGAAATGATGGAGTGGGTTTTGATTTTATAATTAAGGAGTTTAGGAAAAATGTAACTCCCACCATTAACCATTGGAATTAATCATGGCATTTGTGGTGTGTTAATGGTGATTAATTAGCCATTAACACGTCCGTTACGCTACGCTCCGTTTAAAATTTGTCCCAAATAATTGGAGATTAATGGCCAGTTAACTCCGTAAAAATGGACTAATTTTAAACAGTACGTAAAATAAATAATAGAAGATTGGTTCAGTAAATTTGCAAAAATTGCAATCCTCACCATATTCTTTTATTAACGGGTTAACTCTGAGAATCAATTTCTCATTCACCCTCTACCATTTTTGGCGTAATATTTGTCAAAACATTTATCTCATTTAAGAGAAAACACGTCCATTAATTAACGGTTAAAACCGTTAGTGGACCTATTGACAAATATACCCAAGTTGGTTCATTTAATGCCTATTAAAAATGCCAAAAATTCCAACATAAGTTTGAGACTCCTAGTTTGAGTATATGACTAAGGATTTACTCTTATTTGGGTGTTTTCTTATTAATGATTTTCATTTTCCTGCACATCCTAAAATAGTTGCGCTTTCATTTTTTCTTTTTCCTCAAAATGTTTCCATTTTCTATTAAAAAATACACTTAATTTTTTGTATCATACCTATCACATCATAATTTTTCACTAATAATCTATTCATTACATTTTACTTTAATCCATCACATCAAGATCAAAATTAAAAAATCAACCATAAAAATACATTTCTTATTTTAGCCTAAAGTCAAAATATGAATGATTTAAAGAAATAGTGAGAATAGTTCTCTTTTAATTCTTGGAAAGATTTTTGTGGTTTATATTTTTCTCTCTCTTTTGAATCACTTTTTATCTCACAATTTTAATTTTTTAAAACTTTGTGCCAAAGAAATGTGAACTACTCTATCTGTCCTAAAATAATATGTCTTTACTATTATGGATTCTCAATATTTTTTGTTTGTTCGTACAATTTTCATTTATCACTTGGTAAAATAAAATATTTTCATAAATTCTTATTTTCTAGAATTTTTTATGTAATTTTTAAATATATAAATATTATTTTTTTATTTCTTTATCAATTTAAAAGTAAAATCATTTTAAAAATCGTGAGATTTTACACCTAACCCTTTTTCGATCGAACGACCCGCCGCCGCCTCCTCATATCCTTCATCCTTGACCGATGGCAGCGCCACCCCACATCAAAGAGGGGGACGACCTCCATGTTCTACAGAGGAGCCGCCACCACCTTCACATTTGCCACCTCATCACTTTGTCGCACCTAGGGTTTTGCATCGGTCTTCCCTTCATCGGCGCCCCTCTTCTGATTGAATTGCCTCCGATCTAATTGCCAGTTGTACTAAAAATATGTTACAACTTGTGTACAAGAGCGGGTCTACTTCTTCGTAGTAGGTGGAAAATGCTCCCAACTTATTTTTTGCAATAAAGTTAAAAACATATATATTTCAATTTTATGTATATATACCCCAACAAAATTAATATGACCCCATGTAATTAGGTCAATTTTAAATTTTTTGTTTAATTTTTTTAGTAAAACGTATATTATTGCATATAATTAATTATTTATAAAATAAATTTTTACATTATCTATTAAAATGTTTTGCATTTAATAAATAATTTGAAATACAACTCATTAATATTTTTTTACCTCAAAGGCATGGACCAATATTTTGTGCTAGTATAATGTAGTGTGATGGTTTACACTGACACAAAATGACAGTGTAAATTTTTTTGATTGAAGTAGTAGCATTTTGATTGAAGTGTTAAAATCTAAGTACATCCCTTTAGGATATAACTTACAATACACTTTTTGGTGTTTCCCTAACATGATTATTTAAATCTAAAATGAATAGTGTTCCAGCCTTTTTTACTTGGGTCGAGTGTGTTGCGAGTGGGCTGCGAATTTGTGGGCCGAAATTGAGTTGTAAAACTGTCTAAAAAACTGTGTGGATCTAGGCATATAGGTCGGCTTAGACATGATGGAAATCAACCTCGGTCTTTGTGAGTCTACTTTAACTTTATGTCTCATTCTAATTTTATTGAATAGATTCAAAAAAAATTTAAAATACTTGGACATTAAATGTGGTAATTTGAGTTGTCTTATAAGCCCAAGTATATATATTACCATATTAAACATATATACATATCATTCTTTCGTGGGTGGAACAATGAAAATTTTAGTTCCAAACACAATGGTCTCGCTCTTAGATTGATTAATGTAAGATGAGTTCTTTGGACTGCAATTTCATTTTCTGCAATAAGATTTTTTGTTTCGGGTACTTGAACATGCATGACGACAATATTTTGCACGTGGGGTATTTTGGGCACGGTTATAGATAATATTTTGTAGAAAATGCATTAATTGCATGGATTTACAAAATATTTTGGAAACCGTGCAGTGATGGATCTATTTCAACTTTTCAATATGGCCTCATTGGTTAGTGTGTCTTTTCCAGTCCAAAGTCGACCTATCACCCCTGTGTTATAGTACAAAGTTCAATATATAAAGAGATTGAAACAATACATTTTTAAAATCCTTAACAATTGAAAGATAAAGAGAGAAAGATCCATAGAAAAAAAATCTTACATTCATAAACGAAGATCCATCGAAAATCATCTCGACGACGTAGAGACGGAGAGGGAGAGAGCAAGACAAGCGAAAGACGCAAATGGAGTGAGCGAGAGAGAGATTCCGGTTTTGGTCGGTTAGCTAGGGTAGAAAATATATTTAAGTTTTATTAGTGGGCTGAGTTGAAGGATTGTAGTGGGCTGGGTTTATACATTTGGGCTGGTGGATTAGTTTAAAATATATTTTTTGCAAGAGGCTTAAATGGGCTGGTGGGTTTGAGTATATTCAATTCCGACCCAATTTAGCTCGGGTTTGGGTTTAATTTTGACGGGTCAATTTTGAATAATTAATTTTTCAATTCAGATTTAATTTAAAATTTAATCGGGTTGGTTGCTGTCAAATAGGACCATTTTTTTATTATTTTATTTAACATGTTTAAAAACTTATTTTAATAAAATTCTATTAAAAATAATATATTTTTATAAATTATAAGTTACTGTATTTATTGCACAATTAAAGCATGAATTGGAAATTTTGAGAGTTCATGTTACAAGTGCAAGAGTAATCGAGACTCTGATTTTATGGAAAAATGTTGAAAATGTTTAGCGCACGTGATCATCCATCGTGCTTACAAATTGGTAACGTGAGATGAGGATTATTTTTTGTTTGTGATAATTGTGCAATAGTGACACCACTTGCACCAGGACAATCTGAACGGGTTGAAATTCCAAACAAAAAATATTTTAACGATCATTATGTTCTTAATTGAATACTTCACTATGATGCTTTTAAGCGTAAATGTTAGCTATTTTTCTTTGTAAGGTACAAAAAATGTTGGAAAATATTCTATATGTAATGTATCCCCTATGCCCTTTTGATGAATTTTTAGAATGTTAACTATTTGTCTGCCTATTATGATTATGACGGATGTTAATTTTTTGTTATGAAATTCCAAATTTAGAAAGATAAATATTAACAATGTATCATTCTCTACGCTTACAAGAAATGAACAACGTATTTCTTTTTATAGTTAACTTTTTAAGTAAAACATCATACTCCCTTCGTCCCATTTTAAATTACTTTTTTTCATTTTTTGTTTGTCCCAAAAATAAATTGTCTGTTTCTTATAATAATAAACTTTTAATGGTAAAATATTTGAACTACCTCTAAAATAAGTCACTCCTCTCCCCCTTATCTTCTCATTCATCGCTACCCCATAAAAAGTAATGCATTTTTGAAAAGCCGGAATAATTTTTACCCATCTTTAAATATGCCCCAAAGTCAAAACGGACAATATAAAATGAGATGGAGAGATTATCTTCCATGTTTGAATGCCTATAATAATCATAACGAATGTTAATTTTTTGTTATGAAATCCTAAATCTAGAACGATAAATATTAGCAATGTATCATTCTCTACAAATGTAGTTTATAAAGAAGTGTTCCAAAACTTTTAACACTTCATATCGACTTTGGTCATTACTGTATAGATTTCCCTTTTTGGGAAATTATATTAAATTATGTAACTTTTTAGATTCTGTAACATTTTCCATTATTCCAAACATTGACTAATAATATGTAAATGAGTAATTTACCTAAATATGACTAAAACATAATGACTTTTTTAATATAGGACCATATGTTTTTATTGATCAATGTAGGACCATTGGTCATTATGTATTAGTTATTATTAATCTAAATGTACAGTGTTACCTCGAATAAGCCACTGCAGTACCGTATAATTTGAGTCTGAAATGCCATACTTCCATTTGGTTGTCCTCCGCTACCAAATCTTTTTTTCTATAACATCCCCGCCTATGCTCCTTTCAAATTCTACTCCGCCATTGTTGACCCTGTTGTCTAGCTATTTCTACCATCCAAGCTCCAAGTTGCAGCAACCCAAAAATGGAAGTCGGAAAGGATGAAATCACGTCAGAGCAGAGAAGACGCGCCGAAGCAAACCGTCTAGCGGCCCTAGCGAAGCGCAAAACCAATCAAGAATCTTGGAAGCTTCTGAAATGTCAAAAACCCTCGTCCGAATCCACTCCATCTAATGCCGTTTTTCACAAACCTGATCCAGTTTCTGCGCCCAACTCGCTTCACAAGCCCGAGTCGTCGCCTCCTCCCCTCGAGAGATTCCGGGCCAGGCTAGAAATTTGCTCTGCGGACTCGTTCTCTGTCACTCCCGTACCTGTACAGGGTCATCCTTACCCTGGTCAAGAAGCCTGCTTCGAAAAGCTTAGAGATATACTCTCATATGTAAGAACCATTTATTCAATGCTTTCCCTTATGTTTATTATTGTGCCTTCCAGATCTTACTTTAAACTGCATAAGGGACGTTGAATTTACATATCGAAGATTTGCCAATAATATTTCCTTAATGATACAGATGATCAAGGATTCCCTATTAATTGTATTCGCTCGTTCTTCATTATAAGAGATTCTAGTGATGATGACATGATCTCTGCACCAATTCTGACCTTCAAATTTTAAAGAAGAGGATATTTTTTCTACAAAACTCTGTACAGTGGACATGCTAAGTGTGTGTGGATTGGTCACACAACAAGATAATTAAATAAATCTATACCCGAACCCATAAATTGGGTGCAAGTATGGAGGATTTTAAAATATATGCTTCAGGCCCAGTAAAATGGTTCATTTCCTATTCTTAGTAGCTAAGTAGTGCATATTCAATGCCCAAATATGACCATGACATTTTTGGCTGTTTAGGGAACATTATATGATTCACTTTTCTGCCTTGGCCCATTATTACTGACTGAAATTCAATATAAGGAACGTAGAGAAAGTAGTAATAGTTCTGGTAATAATTTTCTCTTGTTTGAAGTTAAGGAAATTTTAAAGGATTCAGGTCTGCTGGATTTTGTATCAGGTTGTGCCGTCACACTACACTCAAAATACTGGAGGCGGAAGGGGTTGTGTGTATAAGCTTACAGATTATGAAGCAGTTCTAAGGTCCATTAAGGGATGTAAAGATGTTGAGTGTGAAGAAATACCTTGGGGAACACTTAATGTAGTTGAAAAGCTTTCACATTCCATCATTCCTGGGAGATGGATACCTTGCAGGCCAGAGCATCTTCCAGATAAGAAGGTCAATGAGTTGATTAACGGACTTCCTAAAACATTGCTAGACACCCTTCTACCTTTTCAGCTAGAGGGAATAAGGTTTGGGCTGAGGAGGGGTGGAAGATGTCTCATTGCTGATGAGATGGGGCTTGGAAAAACCCTCCAGGTAGCAAAGAAAACCTATTCCAAGTTTTAAAGCCGGAGAAATTTGAATGTCAATATAGTTGTGTATTTAAGTTCAAAGCATTTACACTATAGTAGTAATATTTAATCTGATCTTATCAATCATTAATGACTTTTTGTTTAGCTTATCAAAGAGAATTTAAGTTTATTGTAATTCAACTGTTGTAAGATACTAGGGTTTAATGATTGGAACCACTTGTATATGTACTTGTGCAGTAAAAGGATTCTTGTTGTGGTCTTGTGGAATTACGCTTTATCCTTAAAATTCCATAGTCCATTCATACAGAATCATATGGAGGGAGTACATATCATTAATGGACTTTTTGTTTCCATTTTCAGGCTATTGCCATTGCTAATTGTTTTATGAATGAGGGTCCTACACTCATTGTTTGTCCAGCTATTTTGAGATATTCATGGGCAGAAGAATTGGAGCATTGGATTTCATGTTTGCCTTCTGATATCCATCTTGGTATTATTCAGAGCATATCTTTAATACTTTTTGTGTTCTTTATGGGCTATGTCCTAGGCTTGGAGCATGCTGAAAGCCGTAATGTTGGTTGCAATTTCAGTGTGTGCAGTGTTCTATGCTTTTGCTAGCTATTACTGAGAAAAATAATTAGTCTAGTTCAGATGAAAAGGCATGACACAATGCTATCCAAGTTCACACGTGTCGTTTTGTCTGCTTGCCATTGTAGACTTTTTTCAAAATGTAGTGTGCAATCAGCCTATCAATTGGTGGAGTACAAGATTGAAATGAACCATATATGTTATAACCTGGCAGACCAAAAGCACTATCCATCTTTGTGGCCTCAATAGTACTTCAGTGTTGAACTGGCTTGATCCCTGTTGCCTCAATCTTTGTTAGTTCTGTCCAACTGTCCAGCCTTCCTAGTTTCCTCTACCTTTCTTCTCCTATGAGGCAAAGCCTCACTACACTAGACTCTGGCTCAATAAAAGAGTACTGTGTTTGTGTCTTTGGAGCCGATTCAATGAGAATCGATAAAGAGGCTAGTGGTGACATGAAGGGGGTGGAGTTGTAGGGGTCACTATAATTATGGTAGAGAGCTCTATCTGATTTAGGACTAACAGCACCATTTTATGCTTTTTAGTGTAGAATGGGAAAACAAGCTTTTATCTCCAATTTCTGTTAATTTTTAGCCTGGGTCTCAGATGGAGCTTAAAATTTTGGAACTGCGCAAAAGCTGGATATTTAGAAAGTTTAAATGCCAAGAAGGCTCTTTGACATAAAATTTTATATGGAGTTTGTTACTCCAATACGTTGGTTTTTTCATTAACTATTTAATCTTAAATCAATTTATTAGAATAGGTTACACATCAGAGGAAAAAAGTGACATTTATCTGTAATAGAGCTAGTTGTATAACTACACATATAGCCAAAGTAGCTATGCTAGTTGCTCGCACTTGATACATTACAACCTACATTTAAGCTGTTCATAACTTCAACTTCTCAGTTCATAATATTATGGGTATTCATTTAAGATATATAATTGTAGAACATTAGTTATTTTTTACCAAATCTAATTTGCACTACCTGGGTTGCTTTCCTTATCTTTCCAGTCATATGTGGCAGTGGTATCTCTTCTGTTACTGATTTGTCTTTCCGTCTCAGTTTTTGGTCATCAAGACAACCCTTCTCATTTAAGCAGAATCCCAAGATTTGTAGTCATCTCATACACAATGCTAAAGCGCTTGAAAAGGAGCATTCTAGAGCATGAATGGGCTATCATAATCATTGATGAATCACATCATCTTCGTTGTTCAAAGAAAAAATCTGAACCAGAAGAGGTTAGACCACATTTCATTTACTAATCGGCTAGTAGGAATTTAAAAAGAAAGCATAATAATTTATTTACTTTCTCTTCTGAAATCTTTTGAATGGCTGTCATCTATAACAGAATTCAAGTCATTGAACTAAAATGTTTTTTGAAGTTGTGTAGGTTGAGAAGATTTGTACTTAAGGTGTTATGATCTATATAGCTTATGGCATAGTTATTGTATTACATATCTATGTCATATTCCTTTTATGACTAGTTTGTGTTTTTAGTTCTATGCTTGTATTCATTTTTGTGTGAGTGTGAAGAATATAGAAATGAGATTACATCTATTACTCATAATCTATTTCTTCTTATCTATCTCTCCTGAAATTATTCAACACTGAGAGTATACTACATGGTATTAGAGCCTATTCAGTCAAAAATTCTTTAGGCATGTACATATATTTTGCAGTGGAAAAGTGATTGCCGGTGTGAACATTTGGGGTGTTCTACTTCCCAACTCTCATCCGTTGGTCTGTTTCAAATTCTGGATCAACCATGTAGCTCTAGTGCTCTATCTCTCGTCGCAACCTACCACCAAGAATCCCACTATGGACGCTTCCGGAACACGTCACATACAACCCACGTTCGCCAAACATTTCCCAGCCGATATCTTTCTCACTGATGATCTTATTTTGACACTGCCACCACCATCCAACATATATCGCTCTTGCAATCCTAAGGTGTTTACTCAAAGGACGTGAGATTAGGATACACAAAGTATTGTTGTGTTTTAAAAGAGTAGCAGCAGAACCCTTTTTGAAGTCTAGAATGCCCCACAAACACACATTTAAGAGATTTACCTTCTAATTTGTCATGATTTAGAGTATTATCTCAGACAAAGGGAGTACACCCCAAAGACTTCTAAAGGAAGTTTGTGCAAGAGTTGGTTAGAAAATGAGAGCATAGTTATCATAGCACCAAGGCGAGGCACCAGTGCACTGCCATGATGCCTAGACAACTAGGGGACCACCTAGGCAACAGTTAGGCGACCTAGGCGGCGACACATAAAAATCAAGATTGGTATGCATTAGTAACACTAAGTAACACAAATATTAAACATACGTGTTCTATACACCTTATCAAAATTTCAAATATACATACTTAAAAAAATATAAGAAGAATATGGTTAAAACACAGTATGCAACTTCTTAGTCAAAGTCAATACTAAGTATGAAAAAAGTCACTAACTAAAAGGCATAAGAGATTTTCAAAAGGCAATGCCTAGGCGCCTAGGCGAGGTATGCAAAATAAGGCGAGGCAATACACAATGGTGAGAGAAGCTGACCGGAGGACGCCTAGGCGACGCCTTGATAACTATGAATGAGAGACTATATGTTTTGTGGCTATGTAAGACAGATGAAGGCAGAAGGCATGGGATTGATAAGGTAATCTGCATAGAGGATATCATCTCCACAAAACATGGAGAAATTTAGTGTAGACTCTAGAAACTTACTACTAGTTAATTCAACTATATGTTGATTCTTTCTTTCAACATTTCCATTTTGTTGCGGAGTAGTATAGCAAGACAATTTAGTGGCTATGTAAGACAGATGAAGGCAGAAGGCATGGGATTGATAAGGTAATCTGCATAGAGGATATCATCTCCACAAAACATGGAGAAATTTAGTGTAGACTCTAGAAACTTACTACTAGTTAATTCAAGTATATGTTGATTCTTTCTTTCAACATTTCCATTTTGTTGCGGAGTAGTAGAGCAAGGCAATTCATGGAGGATTCCTTCGGCATCTAGAAAATCAAATAATGGGCCAAACAAAATTTCTTTAACATTATGTTGAAAAGCCTAGCCTCAAATTTTGGATGTTGCCACGTTGGAATTGATGACATGGTGTACTTTGTAAGGGGAGTAACGGTTAGATGGGAAATTGTGTGGAGAGGGGGATTAATATAATTTGTGCAGAAAGAACCCATACAAATCGTACGCCCGTCATACAAAATGATAGAACCCAAGATAGGCAGGGAGACTTAAGTAATGAAAATCTGTTTCAAATTATGAAATCATGTTCTAACTCCAATACTCTATATATCTCTATTATAGAAACTCCAACCTGACCTTTGATCTCACTATGGAACTTCTGGAAAACATTGGGTATTTGAAATCACTGCTTTAGTAAAAACATCCAAGTACATCGAGAAAAATTATGAATGTAGGTGACAAAATAACTGAAACCCAAAAAAAGGAACGCGACATGGTCCCCAGACACCCATGCATGGCTATAAACTAGTAGGAAAAGGGTATTAATTATATTATTAACTCAATTATTAAAAGACACTCTAGAGTGTTTTCTAAGCTCACATGACTCACAATTTACGGTTGACACATTTGATAGACTTGGAAGTTGGAAGAAATTCACACAATTCATTTAGACTAGGATGACTTAGTAGACTATGAAGTATGAACAAGAAATGGTGACATAGCAGAATGGTCGTTGATGGAAGATAGTGACAAGCGATAAAATTCTTGATTCATATCTCGAACCAATTGTCTTTCCTGTACTCCAATCCTGCACCACAACAGAACCAGAAGTAAAGATAACTGAGCAACTGTGAGTGTGAGTCAGCTATTGAGTAGAGATCTAATTATAAGGGCATTTTAGTAAGTACAGAATTCAATATGAAGGTAAACTAGGGAGATGCAAATTATACTAATGCCAGTTGGGACAAGCATTTCGATTTTAGATCCATTGCCAAACACAATGGAAAGAGATGTAGATGAAGTAAGATGAAAGAGTAAATAGGGATTACTTGAAATATGGTAAGAGTCAAGAATATGTGGACAGTGAGAGTTAACTTGAGAGATGCACAATTTGATGTATGACTCTTGTCACTCTCTGCACATTGTGTAATTGGAGTGACCACTGATTTCATGGCATTGTTTTTAAGTTTCTGAGCTCTTCAGATTCCGCTGCATATATGGTGACAAGAGGAGAGGAGGTATCAGGACTAAAAACTGTGAAATTTGAATTTCCAGCTGAGGCCATGCTTTCAAAATCAAGAATGCCATACACCACTAGAATGGTAGGGGGAAGCAATCAAGACTGGAAAATTTTGCTGGAAATGGGGAAAATCAGGCCCCCATAGGTGGCTTTGATACCATGTTAAATGAGAAATGTTTTATAGGAAAATATGCTTAAACAATCTGTGTAAACAAGGGAGAAACAATGAAATATGTATACACTAAGATCGGATACCTTTAATCCCAACTATATTGAGGTTAGTTGCAATGAAATTCATACTGTCAGCTAATTGTCTAAAAACAATAAACAATAATAGCTAATGCAAGTATAAAGGCATGCAAGATAGAATATGTGTACACTAAGATACGATACCTTTAATCCAACTATTTTGAGGTTGGTTGCAATGAAGTTTATTGTCAACTAATTGTCTAAAAATAATAAAAAATAATAGCTAATGCAAGTATAAAGGCATGCAAGTGCCAATTTTATGTTGGATGCCTTTCTCGTGGCAACCTTCATACGAAGGAATTATGAGATGAGGTTCCAAAACCATAATGATAACATGTTTTTTCCAGTTGCATCACTTGCATGAGAAATTTCATGAGATGGTAATGCTTAGAAATAGTTTCTATAGTCATGCCTCATTACGAAGCTGATACTTTGAAAACAACAAGCACAATATGGAACATGATCACAATCCCATTCTTTCTTAAAAAGAATATTAAACTCTAAACCTCCGTAAAATTGAATGAGCAAATCAGAAATTTAATTTAATATGCAATCGTAGCATCAATATGTCTAGGAAAAGAAAAATTTGACCTAAGAACGCTAAAAAGGATAGTGGTGCGGTGATGCCTTTGGTTTTAAAGCAGTATCATAGTCTAGACAAGCATTGCAAGCATGACATTACCAATTTCTCTTTGGCTTGGATGGTTTGGGGAGTATTCCTCACCTAGAGGTCACGAGTTTGAATTTGGTACCTGGAAGAAGGAAAAATAAAAATTGTAGAGCCTGGTTATGGGAAAAGCAGTAGAAGCCGACTTGAATTATGAAAATGTTGCATTCTCAGAATTGAAAAGGGATTTTAAATGGCTTGAGTTGATAATTTTAAAATGACCGGAATGCTTGTTTATTCAAATAGAAATTGCAACCTATGTGGGTAACTTACAAGCTATTATGTTGATGCATTATTTGAATTTCGATTTTCATTGTTCTTGTGCCATGCTTTTAACTAATTNGACTTGAATTATGAAAATGTTGCATTCTCAGAATTGAAAAGGGATTTTAAATGGCTTGAGTTGATAATTTTAAAATGACCGGAATGCTTGTTTATTCAAATAGAAATTGCAACCTATGTGGGTAACTTACAAGCTATTATGTTGATGCATTATTTGAATTTCGATTTTCATTGTTCTTGTGCCATGCTTTTAACTAATTATTCAGTTTAACAACCCTGTATCCATACATATGCTTTTCCTAGTGTTACACTCATGTTTTCTTAAATTGGCAGATAAAAGCAGTTCTTGATGTTGCAGTGAATATCAAGCGTTTAATTCTATTGTCAGGGACTCCCTCTTTATCAAGGTTGTCAGAAATTTTTGTAGTTCTATTTTAGCTCTGGTTGCATGGAGCTTAAGCCAACTCATTTGTGTGTTATTTTCAATATTTATCTATTTGATTTCCTGCACTCCTTTTCCTTGTTGAAGATAGCATCAATCTTCTACTTTTATGTTTCTTCCAATTCTTATGCTCATGTTTAATATTTTCCTAGGTGCTAATAGGCCATATGACATATTTCATCAGATAAATATGCTATGGTAACTTCTCTTTTTGTCCTAATATTTATGTTTCTTGTTAATAATTCAAATGTTCTTGTCTCATTCTTTTGCCATCACATTCTTCTTCTAGGCCAGGTTTACTTGGAAAGACTAAATATGACTTTGCAAAGACTTACTGTTCTATTAGACTTGTGCAAGGATGCCGAGGGAAAGCTTTCTATGTAAGTTGGGTTACCTCAGTCATGAGTTACGAGTAAATTACAAATGCTAAAATTTTCATTGAATTTCTTTTCAATTGACATGAAGTGGTTCTCTATGACTAACATGGCATTGTTAGAGAAATTTTGATTTGAAATCCGATGGTCTTTTTATTTGCTTATTTACTAATTTCCTAGCTCTATGTAGGGGTGCAAACGAGTCAAGCCGAGCTTGAATAATTGTACTAGATCAAATGAGCTTCTAAAATATGGGTTCGAATTCATGTTGTTATTTTTTACAGGGATTGACACGGTTCGATTTGCTCAAATTGAGCTCTTATATGTGTGTCGGTGTGTGTTTGTGTACATCCATTTATAGGCATATTACTACCCTACAATAAAGTAAGGTCAAAATTGGAAAGTAACACCAAAATTACACATTCGTTAAATCCCACCTTTTCCGTGAGTGGAAAAGTTTTATGAGACGGAGTGAGTCTTTAATTTAGCTTGAGCTTGCCTCGAGTTTGGATTTGAACACTCGAGTCAATCTTTAGCAACGCTGTTTGAGCAGCTTTTCACCTCTAGTTACATGTTGATAAAATGATATGGTATTTTCTTTCATGTAGGATTTCTCAAAGGGGACACGTTTGGAAGAATTACATATGCTACTTAAGCAGACTGTTATGGTGGGCTCTTGCTCTATGATTTTCTAAATTCGTCTTGATGACAATTTTTCTTTCCATACACTAGTCATTTATCAAATGCATTTTTCTATTTTCTTCATTTCATAATTGAACTTTTTTCATTGGAATTATCAAAACTTACTTTGTCCAATGATACCATTAAATGCAAAATCATATACTCCAACCCCAGAGTTTGTAACTTGTAAGTTTTTTTTTGCACAAATACAAAGAAACAATTTATATGTAATCAGTTTTCCAAATTTACCATCTAAAAGGTGGATAACCTTTATAAAAAGATGCAAGGGGCCAGAATGTCAATCCATAAAAAGGTTTATTTGGAAAAGGTTAAGAGTTAATGGAGTTCACGAAAGAAAAGTGAAAATAATCTCATGAAAATCCAAAAAGGAGAGGACTTATATATGTGAGAGTTGGAGAGTGTTATTTTGGAATAATTGCGTAATTCATTGTAGACATGATTTTTTTTAAAAAACTTCCAACAATTATAAATGATCAAAGAGATAACCACAATCATTCGCTATAACCAATCCAACCAAGCCATTTTTATTTTAATGCTACTATACTAGACACTTCCTTTTCCACTTTTTCTTTCAAGAGCTTTCCAGCTTTCCTCCCCTCTTCATTTAATAAGTGAAAATTTTATTGATAAGGAAAATTAGAAAACCAAAGACACCGCAATAACAATAGCTGAATTCCATCTCTCAAAGAATGCGTATTTGCTTTTAGTTACTGTGCTGATTCACTGCTCTCTCTTTCTTTCGTTGTGCTTGTCTTTCATTTGTATGTTGCAGATACGACGCTTAAAGGAACATGTACTCGTTCAGCTGCCTCCCAAGCGTCGCCAAATCATAAGACTGGTTTTAAAGAAATCAGATATTGCTTATGCAGTTGCTTTAACTGAAGCGTCAGGAGGCAATGCTCCAACACTTGATGGCAATATGACACATGTTGAACATACTGTTGTGAAAGCTCTTGATGAAGATGAAGGTAATGAATTCCAACTTCCAAGTCCTTTGTGTTAATCTATGGGTTGCTTGTATGTATCTAATGCAAGGTTGACACACCTATGGAAAACTAAATGTGTGGCCTAAGCATTCATTATTTGTAACATTAATTTTGGTTAGGCTTAGAGAACATGTATGTTTATATTTATATTAGTGTTACTAATGTATACCAATCCTGATTTCTTACATGTTGGCGTGTTGTCGCCTAGGTCGCCTAATTTTCGTCTAGGCATCATGGCGTTACACTGGCGCCTGGCCTCGCCTCGGCGCCGTGACAACTATGGCGTAAGCAATTAGGCGGTGTATTGCAGCAAGGAGATATGTCTGGTGGTAGGTTTAGATTCGATGGAACACTACTAGATTGAGATATACTCCCTTCATCCCTGTCAAGGAACCAACTCAACCAAAAGCTCAAGCTTGTGGTTGTGGCCCAGAAACATTTATTTATATTCTAACACGCCCCCTCACGTGCAGGCGTAGTCTTTTTCGAGCCTTGCACGTGAAACATTAATTTTTTTAAAAACTGGGTGGCGTTGAGTTTCGAACCCGTGACCTCTTAGTCAACGAGGCTCCGATACCATGTCAAGGAACCAACTCAACCAAAAGCTCAAGCTTGTGGTTGTGGCCCAGGAACAGTTATTTATATTCTAACAATCCCAATAAAGGCTTTTGGTTTGACTTGGCACAAAGTTAAGGAAAGTGAAAATGTGTGGTTTAAAGTGATGCAGAAGAGAAAGATTATGAGCAACTCATAATGTTCCAAAAAAGGAAAGAGGAGGGTTTTTTTGGGACGCCCCGAAAAAGAAATAAGGAGTCTTTTTTTGGGACGGAGGGATGCTTCAAGGCAGAATTCTCTTCTTGTAAAGCAAGGCAGAATTCTCTTTTGGGGCATCCAAAGAAGGCAACTGGGAAGATAGATTTGGGACGGAGGGAGTATTTCAAAATATGACAAAATAAGTAATTTTCAAGAAAGTTCTTCCACAGTTCTAGGGTGTGCTAAGAGCTAGCGAGCAAGATCTCATCCAAGGCCTCTGCGGATACATCATAGGAGAAGAATAAGAAATTATGGTGGATAGAAGACCAGCCTGACCTTGCCGTTGGCGGAGAATGGAATGTGCCAACTATGCATTTAAGAAACATGAGATTATCACTCCAACAGTTAAACAATATTCTATCACTCCAACTAAACTTTATGAAGTACCAAGATTCAAATCTTAAAAGGAAAAGGGAGTCCTTAAAGCATTACAACTCATAGAAAGACTTGACGAACTACGAACCTTAAATAATCCAGAGTAGTAAGCAAATATATAGGAACATGTGATGCATTTCAGTTGGCTGGGTTCGTGGCTGTGTGGTGGTATACACTATACACATCGCACAAATGGATCCATAACAACATGGAAATGCTTTTACCAATTTCTCTAGACATTTGATGGAGAGCTCAGCTGCGGTGTATTAGAACAATTCTTAATGACCATTCACCATTGTTCTTGAAAGAAACATATATAATGGTATAAATGTGCAGTAAACAAATGTGTTGGAGTTAATATTATTAGAAACTAAGATTGTATATATAGGAGCAGGTGGTGTGCAAATGTGCAATCATGCAACCTCAATCCAAATGCCATCATGACCAGTAGTCTTCAACTATCTAACTTAGGGTCCATTCCGTAGGACTTATTTTTTCTACTTATTACTTATTCTTATTAAAATCAGATCAGATCCATGCAGATCAGATTCAATCAGATCAGATCAGATCCAATTAGGTCAGATCAGATCTAATCAGACCAAATCAGATCCAATCGGATCAGACCAGATCCAATCGGATCAGACCAGATCCAATCAGATCAGACCAGATCCAAATAGATCAGATCAGACCAGATCAATTCCAATAATATCAAATCACGAAAAAATATAAAAAATAGTATTTATATTTTTCAAGGATTAAATAATAATTACTAGTATTTGATTAAATCACATTACTTTATTTAAAACTACACACATCTAAATCTTTATTAATTTTATAATTTTAATTGTTATTATTGTTGTTATATTATTATTATTATTGTTGTTATATTATTATTATTATTATTATTATTATTATTATTATATTTCAACTACAAACTATCATTGTTAATAATTGCTTAGCTTGTAGGATAGGAATGATGCATGGAAGCAATGTTAAAGCTTAGTTTTCAAAACCATATATATTTTACATGGAAGCAAAGAGTTATTTTAAAATACTTGTTTATAAAATAATTATAGATGGTATAATATACACAAGAGTGAGTTTATGACAAAATTGATAAAGGTGAAAGGGATATTAGTGTTTAAAGTTTTATATGATCTTTAATTTGTAACATGAAATATATTATTATGTAATATGCATGTAGAATGTGATATTTTTGTAGAATAGCATCCATATTTTCTAATATTTGCTTATTTTAATACTGATTATTTAGTTTTCAAAAAAATTAAAAAAGTAGTGATATCGAAAAGATGTTTAATATTTAAAAAAAAGTTTAAATATATCAATGATTAGCTGATTTTCTTATTTTACTTTTTTTTATGTATATATGAATTGTAATACTTTGAAACTATTAAATTTTGTAATAATTTTAAGTTTAATTTAAATCAAATTTAAATTCATTTGCACCAAATCTAATTAGAAAAAATCATATCCAATCAGATCAGATTAGATTCAATCAGATAAGATCCAATCAGATCAAATCAGACCTAACCAGATTAGATTAGACCTAATCAGATCAGATCAGACCCAATTAGATCAGATCAGATCCAATCAGATCAGATTAGATCCAATCAGATCAGATCAGACCCAATCAGATCTAAACTTCAAAAATTCAGATCAGATTCAATCAGATCAGGCGTACGGAATAGAGCCTTCAATGTTAAATAAGTCTTTGATTTGGCGTCAAATTAAATTGTAGAAATAAAGCATTTCTTGTGTGAATAGCCGAATAGTAGGCACTCAAAAATAGGCAATTGATGCTGTTCCATTTGAAGACATCACCAGGCTTCTCTTCATGACTTTTGGGCCAGTAACTAATCACTATTATTGGACAACGTTGTCTTCATTCATTTTATCTTTTTTCTAGCCTAGCTGGATATATTTAAAGATGATGGTTTATCATTGTGCTTGCTGCTTCCATTGCCAATGGAGCTAGTAGAGTCATTCACACGATGATTTAGATTCTTGCAAATCACAAATTCACAATACAACAATAACAACTCGAGTATGATGCCAACTCAGTTGGGGTTTGGGGGGTCAAGTGTACACAACCTTACTCATGTGAATGTAACCTTTGTAGAACATAAGAAGCATGAAGTTTAAAGTGCCATTCTCATTTAGTTCATTTATGACCTGAAGTTAAAACATTGTAAAAAATGTTTCTTTTAGCTCTATTGGCAATGAACACTATTTAGATAAATAACGGACTAAATCAAAATGACATGTTATACTTCTCTTGCTTCTAAATTCATATGAAGAATTGGGCGTAAATGTAGTAATGCATCTAGGGTCTAACAAAGAGCTATCTATTTTTTTAAGGGCTGTTGTTATTGCTGTATCATTTTGCTAGCTATGCTAGTCTTCTCTTCAACATGGTGTAATTGTTTGATCCATTCCCTGAACATAAAAATTTAAAGCTGGTTGGATATTTTCCCTTGTGCTTGTGGCTTGGCCTTAAGGATAGAAGGAGGGACCCCAGCTCCTTTCTTGGTCTCTTGATCACTATTCAACGATACACATAAGTAGACAAGAGAAAGGACTTACAAAGTTGTTTGGGAAACTTTCTTCTTTTTTTTCCTCGAAAAGAACTCAAGTATATGTTGCACCCGAAGTATCCTAATTTCCACGCCCTTTCAGACAATAGTGGCAATCAAGATTGTTCCGCAAAGCTCTCTGATCAAGCACTTGGCATTGCGAAATTGTCGGGATTCTGTGAATGGCTCTCCATACATCCAGTCATCACAGAAATAGATGGAGATGAAACAGTCAGTGTAAGTTGCAGTTCTCACAAAATGATAATATTTGCTCATCATCATAAGGTTCTTGATGGAGTCCAGGTGAGTCCATTTTTCTCAACAAATTTTTTTGTATTTGCAAATCCTTTTTTTTACCTTACTTGTACTGGGTTGTGTTTGAGCTTAAGAGCGAATTTCTTCATTTACACTGTATCCACTGAAATTTTACAGGAGTTTGTTTCTGAGAAAGGTATAAGCTATGTTCGTATTGATGGACATACACCTGCTTATGATAGGCAGTCTGCTATTCAATCCTTCCAGAGCTCAAAAGAGGTCTGAATTTTTTTACATTCTCTTTTTGTTTTGTAAATCAACTGAAGAATTCAAAAAAGGGCTGTCACTGGCCTAGAAATTCGTTTTCTTTCATCAATTATTCCTTTATTTTTATTGGTATAGTTAATAAAATATTGCTCTAAGAACTCTACTTAAGAATGGTCAACCACTTTATAAATTTCAAATTACTGAAAAGGATGCATCCCTCCATCATGAAGTTGGCATTCCAATTTTAGGTCTCCACCCGTTTAATATTTGTTTAACAATTTAACTTATGACCATCATTGTTAGCTTGTTGATCCCATCTAGTTGGGATCGGTGACATTAAATTTATGCTGGCAATTCATTATTTAAATTTAAATAACACTAATAGTTCATGCAAAAAACATAGTGGCAATGTTTTACACTGGATGCTCCACCTATCGCAGGCTTCATCTGAAGGAATAATGTGATGAAAATTCCAAAACCAAACTGTCATCATCAACTTATATTATTTCTAGACATGGAAAATATAATGAGGCAATGGTGAATTGAATTATTTACCATTATCAAGTTTCATTAAAAGATTGATATTGGAAAATCAACTTACAAATCTTTGAACATGGGTGAACGATTTAACTTATCATCGTTGTTATTTTGTTGGTTTAATGTGACGATTTTTTAGTAAATAATTGTAGTTCAATTTCAAAATTCTATCACCTTAAGTATTAAATAATACTCTCTCCGTCCCATAAAAAGCTTCCACATATCCTTTTTTGTGTCTCAAAAAAGATTCCTCTTTCCTTTTGAGGAAGGAATTGTGTGGTGAACGATTTAACTTATCATCATTGTTATGTTGTTGGTTTAATGTGACGATTTTTTAGTAAATAATTATAGTTCAATAACTTCAATTTCAAAGTTCTATCACCTTAAGTATTAAATAATACTCTCTCCGTCCCATAAAAAGCTTCCAAATATCCTTTTTTGTTTGTCTCAAAAAAGATTTCTCTTTCTTTTTGAGGAAGGAATTGTGTATTTGTGTGGCTCACACATACATTTTCTCTCTCCTGTGCTCAAAACTGAATCACACAATTTCACCTTTATTAATAGCTTTATCTGGTGAATTACAAGTTACAACAACCAATTGGATCCCACGAAAATGGGGTCTGGGTGTATGCGGTGAATTGTGGAAACTTATTTTGTGTCGGAGGGAGTAAGATACTAGTTTGGGTTTTGCAGTGGAACGACTTTAAAACTCATGGAGCTTATAGATGAGAAAATATATACATGGATGTCTTCATTTGTTGCAAAGATGCTTTTGATGGTGGCCCATGTAAAGGAAGAATTTAATATTGACTGCATCCTTTGAGATTGCATGTCTTAATTTATAAACAAATGATAAATGTATACTGAATTTCTTGTTATCCCAGCTTAAGATTGCAATAATTGGAATACTTGCCGGTGGCTCGGGACTAAACCTGTCGGCTGCTCAAAATGTTGTCTTTCTGGAACTGCCAAAGGAACCTGCACACATGCAACAGGTGCATCTATTATGCTTCTTCAGTGGAACAAGAAACTTCTATAAAAAGAATCCTTTTAATTTTTTCTGGTTTTGTGTTGGTTTTGTTTATTTTTTCTCCCAAGTTCCTCAACTTCGTATTTTCTTTGCAACTTCACGAACACCCATCCTTGAACTACTGATTTGCACATTTTAATAGATTATTATGGTTTCTTATTTATTCATTATATTTTTTTGTGTATTTTCAACCGTGCAATGCACACATCGGGACTAGTAGTCTTTATAAATATGTTTCTTGCAATCCGTTGAGCTATTGTTGGCAATTGGTTACACACCCTAGTTCTAGTTTTATACCACATTCTGAAACTCCTCCCTTTCAGTATTGCATAATTCTTGACCGTCTTCCTGATGTTTAATTATTTTGAGATTGAAGGCTGAAGATAGAGCTCATAGACGCGGGCAAAAGAATGCAGTCAACATATACATCTTTTGTGCGAAGGTTCCACTTCTATAGTTCTATGCTTTACCCTAAATTGAAAAGATGAACTTTGTTTTGTAAATTGTAATATTGTGAAGATCGTGTCAAGGATCTTCTAGCTCAGCAGCATAAACCTGAAACGTCATACCAGAGAGCGCACATGAATCCCAGTTTACATAAGATAGAATAGTGAATTCAGTGGGTGTATTATGGACCCTGTGCGTAAAGCATCGTGTGCTCCCCACTTTGGGGCTATACAATTTTTCTAACTATGAATATAAGCTCAATAGTTTCTTACAAATTGTTAAAGAGTATCCCACACCGGAACTTGAAGAGAAAATAGATCGGTGTATAAGCTCTTAAGTTGAACTAAGTAATCGATTGGATTCAATCTTTTAATGTGGTTCTACCCAAGTGTCTTATGGTCCAAGTCCAGTAACCCTTACCCCGTTCTAAATACTATCACAAATAAATGAACATTTGAGTAATGAGTTACAAACATCACTCACGGTTGGGATGCAAATTTGCTATGGGGTGCATGAAATGGTGGAATGGGTTTATTATATAATATTGAATTTTGGTCATCTAACTACATTTTTGCAGGATACTTCAGATGAAGTTTGTTGGCAGAACTTGAATAAAAGTTTGCATCGAGTTTCATCTACAATGAATGGAAAGTATGATGCAATACAGGAGATAGAGGTAGACTCACAATTTAGTTTGCATGGTTTGTCCTTTGACCTTTACAATGCAAGAGCTCTAGGTCCTCTGGCATGTTGGAAACTTAATCTAGTGGTTTGAAACTGATTTGTTATCTAAAAATCTCATTACATTCTTTGTTCTGTTTGAAAATTTTAGAGGTTATCATCATACCATCATGTTTTCATCTCTCTTCATTGTCCAACCGCCCACAAAAATATATTGAAAAATACCATCTTATGACAATAATCTGATTTTAACTTGTGAAAGAGTAAACTAAAACCCCACCTTCAAAGCATCTAGTGAGAGCTTTTTAGAAAATACAGGAGTTGGATTTACTGTGCAACAACCCACATGTTACCGTTTCCACCATTCACTTACTGTGTTCACATGTGTGTGATTGTGTGAGATTTTGTGGTTTATTTTAAACTTATTCTGATCGTGCATGAATATAAATAGATTGTGATGATGCTTGTGTACATACTGAATAGTCTGTTCTACAATTTTTCCATTTTGGACTCTTTGTTCTCAAAATTCCTTATAAACCCAAAAAAAAGTTATGATGCAAAAGTGGATAGTTAGTCTTTTGGCTTGTGGTCAATCATCAAACTCATGGAGTGATATGAATTTTCCCCCCTTTTGCCTTGTATTTTTAATTTCTTTTTCTGGAGAGGATGTGATTTTCCGTACATAATACATTTGTTTTAATTACTTTTACCTCTAATGCTTAACAGGTTGATGTTGTTTCTGATGTCGGAAGAACTGATAAAATTGAAGAAAGGCTATCCGGTGGGAAAAATGGTCAACAACTTATTTTACAGTCAATAGAAAATCAGAATGCATCCTATAATGAATCAGAGAAGATGATGAGTAATGGCAACCAAGAACATGATGAAAATTGTACGCATCGATCATTGTCTTGTTCAAAAAACCTTGAGGTAGTTATTCTTGCTAATTTAATATGATATGTGTATTGTTCCTAATTCTCTGCTCTCTGACATTGTTGGATTTGGCCTGCATTTTTTTCTCTTCCAAACCTGCGAAGCAAGCTACAACCATTGCCAAAATTGATACATCTTGTAGTTCTGATAGTTCAGGTTCAAGTGAATGCAATCGAGAAGAGGAGGTATGATTGTTATATATGTACTCTGTATGCCTGAAAGTATCATGGGAATTCAATTTGGATCATGTTGTTAACTGTTGAACTCATGGTGTCTAAGATCGGTGATTGTGGATCTGTCAAGCAAATTGAATCGAACAATAATAGCTCAAGTAATCTAAAGTCTCTGCGATTTGAGGTATAATAAGTTGGTTGATGTGTTTTTTACTGCTCACATTATACTTTTTAAACCCATGTCTTAAAACTGTTTGGTGTCTTTTCTGAGGTGTGCCCTTCTTATTTTAGGTTAGCTCTTACACGGGAAGAATCCATTTATATGCTTGCATTCCAGGGATAGATACAAGACCAAGGCCACTTTTTGAGAATTTCCGGCAAGAGGAGCTAAATTTCCCGTCTTTTCCTGTGGACAATGAGGAAAAAAATTACAAATGTATAAAGGATGACCCAGCATATAACCATGTTCTCAAGTCATTCGTTGATGAGTGGAACAGCTTGAGGCCAATAAAACAAAGGAAATTAATGGGAAAGCCATTACAATTACCATTATCTACTGAGCTGTGCTGCTTGAATGATAACATTGACTATGACGATGAGGTATGGGTACTTGTGATTGTCCGGCATACATTGTCCTTTATATGGTTATATTTAGAACTTTTCATTTCTGAGTTATTTATTGCTTTCCCAACAATTTGACAATAGAACCTTATCAGCTAAATGTTGTTAACTCTAATTGAAATATACAGAGTCCTAAATCTAGTTGAAATACATTTCCATGCTGACATTAGAATCTCTGCCAGGGACTGTTGAAAGCTCGGAGCAAGAAAAGGACTACACCACTAAATGAGATAAGCCATCCCTTGCCCTCAAATGCCACATGGAAGAGTGTCAGACTTGGTAGCAGAAATAAAAAGGAGAGAATATTTACACAGGGGTGGTCAAACAAGGATGAACCACTTTGTAAACTTTGTCAATCTGTTTGCAAGTTAGTTTACACATTCATCTACTAAAATAAGTGAACTTTTGAAAATATTGATATAAATCTGTGGTCAACAATTATTGTCCAGGAAAAGCTGTGCTAAGGCACCTGAATACTTTGAAGATCTCTTCTGCTCTTTGGACTGTCACGAAGAATACAGATTAAGAACAAGCCGTAGATACATGCGTGAGGTTACAATTTGATTCTAATTTGAAATCTTAAAACACGTTTCTCTAACCAGAAGCAAGTATGTTGGGGCATGTCGTGTTTCATTTAACATAGGCAAAGCTTTGCTGCGTGCAGAGGCTTTTTGAAATCGAGCATGGTATTTGCACGAATTGTCAATTAAACTGTCATAAACTTGTGAAGCACATAAGGCTTTTATCACATGATAAGCGAGAAGATCATATTAACAAAGTTGCTCCACAGATTGCAAAGCGCAGAAAATTGTAAGTTTGTGTAGTTAATTATTTGTTCCACCCATCCCAAATGAATATGAATGATGTCATATCATGACTAGAATATATCTTATAAATTGTTAATGCAGGAATCCAGTTATGTTTATCCTTGTTACATACTTACACATGACTAGGTTTAAAATGTTTCATTGATATGATAAGGATTCATTTCTTGCAAATAATTGGTGTGGATTTAAGATGAAAATTTAAACCTATGCACCTTCCAGGCATCCAGTTATGTTTACCGTTGTTGCAATGATCCTTTTCTTATGAGTTTTTCATTTTCATTTTTAGTGCTCTCACGACTCATGGAAGGTCTTTGCAGCAAGATACTCCTTTGTTGGCAACACGATGTTTTTCTATTTCATATACTGATGCCATTTTTTGTGATGTTTAAAAACCACTAGAAAACATTTTCCTATATGTGGATTCCTTTTTGGAATGGAAATTTTTCATTGGGGGTTTTCTTGCATCATGGATGTTCATGGGAACGAGTGAATGTCAAGAAGTGGTATAAAAAGATATACTAATTTTTTTGTTTGTTTTTGGTTAAGAAACTTCATGTGCCCAGCAGAACAAAAATAGATAAATTGGCCCATAACTATGACAGATTGTTATGAAACTCCTTTCACATTTAGGACCCTCTAAGTTGTCGATCCGAATGATGTGTTTTTTTGTTTGCAGACTCGAGAAACTTGTTCATGATCCAAATGAAGGCAATGCTTGGCATGCTGATCATATCACACCTGTATATAAAGGGGGAGGTAGTTTCTTAAACTATCTATTTAACCGCTTGAAAATTGTCATTCCCTTTGATTTCACTTTGGATTCACTAACCTGGCAAAAGAAACAAGTAATTTTGATGTTTAATTTCTTGCACTCTGCTTCTACGTTTCCAGTCTATCATTTTTTTTAGTGTAACCATTTACTTTTGGGGTTTCTTGGAAACCTCTTAGTCCCTACTTTCTAGTAGGGGTTAAGGTCTGCGCACACACCCTCCATAGACCTTACTTTTTGTGGGATACTGGGTTTGTTATTATAACCATTTACTTTTAAGAGCATTGAATCTTTTCTTCAATCTTCATCATGTCTTTCTCAATTTATTTGTCGTAGCTGTTAATGTAATCACTCATTTCTTTTTCAAAACTCCTGCAGGTGAATGTTTTTTGGAGAACATGAGGACACTTTGTGTTGCTTGCCATGCAGATGTGACTGCTGCACAACGTAAAGAAAGACAACTAGTGAGGCTGAATGCAAAGAAGCATCTTCAAGTTATCATGAGAAATTTTAAAACAGCTGTGGATCCTAAAACGGCTAACAATAAAACAGAGGTATGTTGTTCCTGGTGTGTTTAGTATGAACAAAAACCCTCACTATTGCCATCACTGAACTGTTTTTCAGGGTTTTACTGTCAACATCTAAACTTAGGTAGTGTTTGGTTGGGTCGGTGGCATGCAAATTTTCCATGGTTTGGTGTAGAATAAATTTTTTATATGGAAAAAAAAGAAAATTCCAAATGAATTGTTTAAGTTGCAAAAGATATCAACTCGATTATCATGGCAGAGAAAAATGTGAAGGGATGAAAATTAACTCCATCTTTCCTCGAAATAGAAATCCTATTCCTCCATTGAGGAGAAATTGATATTCCTATGCATTGCTCTTAAGACGAAATTGAAAACAGGAGAATGACAAGTTTGCCATTGTGGGGAGAAAAAAATAGGAATGTACTACTTCCATCCCATAAAACTTTTCCTCTTTCATGTTTTATCCGCCCCAGAAAATATTTCCATTTTCTATTAAAAAGTCATTTTTATCCCTACTAATTTTTACCTAACCTATCACATCATATCTATTCAATCTACTTATCACATTCTACTTTTACTCATCACTCAAGGGCACTTTTGGAATGTCAATACCAAAATACACTCAAATCTTTTAGAAGTCAATACAAGAAGGGGTTTTTTTGGGACAGAGGGAGTATATCGTAGCACCCAGCCATGGAAATGACAACAAAGTTGATGACCGTATATAATTGATTTCAAAGCTGGGGACTAACAATTGTCTTAGAGTGTCGTAGCTATGGGGTAGCATTCAAGATTGATTGTGTCATTAAATTTGCAGGACAGTAGACAATCCCCAGATAGGGAGAGAATGGAGGAGGATAATCTTCTCATTCACATCCCAGGAAGTTCATATTCAGTGCTTAAAAGCTCCAATACAGCTGGGAGTGGAGAGGAAGCCTCTCCTTCATAGCCTTTATTTCCCTATGTCTTATTCTTTTGGGCATTGTGGTTCATACGTCCCCACCCCCCACTGCTCTCGTTCAACGTGCCTATAATGTTCTCGTTGTGCAGTTTTCGGGGATTTTAAACAAATCAACCCCAAAATTTTGAGTTTATTACTGTATAGACAATTTTGTTGTATCCAACTAGTCTCATCCTTTTGAATATAGTAGTAGTTGTTTGTTGATAGATAAAATTACATATCCCAACTGATCAGTCACAGTCTATATGTCATACATTTTGCCCAACACCTCTGCATATTGCAATGGACATTAAACATTTCCAACTTTATATTAATGTAATAGCCAGTAGTTTAATAATTTGTACATAATGATGGTAAGTACTCAGGAGTTTAGTTGTTGGGCACTTCGTATAACTTAATGTATGTTTCACGTTTATTCAAAATTACCAAGGCCCTGTTTCATGGTTAGATGTTAGAAAAAGCTGGAAAGAGTTTGAAAGGGCTGAAAGGAGTTGGAAAAAATGAAAGAAGGTTGAAAAATATTAGAAAAATTTAATTGTTAAAAGTTATTCAATTGAATGATCAGTTAAATAAATATGTAAAAAAAACTACCCCCTCCGTCCTATTTTATAATACTCCCTCCGTCCCAAATTATAATGTCTTTTTACTATTCACACGGTCAAACTTCATTCACTTTCTTTCTCTATTTTCGTTAGCAATTTGATAAAATAAAATATCATTGTCACTACTAGTTTTGTAGATCTTTTGATGTAGTTTTTTAATATTAATTTTTATTTTTTAATTTTATACCATTTGTCATATAAAATGGTTTGAAAATAATTATAGTCTAACATCGTAAATCGAAACATGCGTTATAAATTGGGATGGAGGTAGTACCTGTTTTGGTTTACGATGTTTGACTGAAATTATTTTCAAATCATTTTATATGACAAATTATATATAGTTAAAAAATAAAAATTACATATTAAAATACTACTCGGAGTACATCAAAAGATTTACAAAACTAGTAGTGATAATAGTACTTTATTTTATTAAATTGTTAGCGAAAATTGAGAAAGTGAATGGAGTTTGACCCTGTGAATAGTGAACAAACATTATAATTTGGGACGGAGGGAGGAATATTCTCATCACTCTTAAATATATTTTGAAACTATCAATTCCTCAAATTTAAAAAATATATAGTTTCTCCAAATCATTAAATCTCTAAATAAATATCACATACAGAGTATTTATTTAAAATAATGCCCCACTCTTATACCAATTTTTAAGACATTACAATTGTATTGGGGTGGGGTGAAAAAGGAGTAATAAGTACTCCACATGGAGAGAGTAGTTCTTCCATTTTCTTTTAAAAAAAGAAATACTTGGTTCAACTCTTTCATCTTCATAAATAAATTCAATCGCACCCTATTCTTTGATCATCATAAAATAAATTAATGAAGTTAACTGTGCATCGAATGAAGTCAATTTCTTTGGGAACAACCAAATAAGGGAAAAAGAAAATCATGAAAATTAATAATTTGAATTTCAATAAAGAACAACGCTATGAACATTCTACAGAGAGCCAACATGGAACTCGCTGAACCCCTTGACGCTTTACGGCAATTACCCAAAGCGACATAGAAGGTACAAAGAGTGAAGAAAGTTTAATACGTTCCTTTGATTTTTGTCTATTATGAATCTCATAGTTTTATTGATAAGGGATGGTGAAACAACCCCAATAAATGGAGAGGCCATTTCTTTTAAGGCAATGTGCTTATGCTTTAAATGCAAGAATGTACTGTAGTTCACTACATTTCAACTGCACTTTTTTTATGTTGTTCTACTGTGGTACACAATGTTACATTTCTACAGCATTGTCAAAAGAATCAACCACTGCTACAGGTAGATCCCATTTCTGCACAGCCTGCCCTCATCTGTAATGCCTAATCTCTACTAGCTCCGTCAAAGCGATGACAAATATAAGTTGAGTAAATTCCATAAATAGTCCCTAATTACAGATGGTTTTCCACATTTAGTCTCCAAATCTAAGATATTACATAAATGGTCCTTAATTTTTGAAAACTATTCCACAATCAGTCCTTCCGAGACTATTTGTGGAAAAAATATTGTCATATTTGGCCTAAAGGACTAATTATGGAATACTTTTCAAAACTTGGGGACCATTTATGTAATACCTTAGAGTTGGGGACTAAATATGGAAAATCACCTTTATGGAATTTACTCATGTAAGTTTATTCTCCATATGTATGCTTGAGCACAATGACTGGTTGTGGAGCAGAGCATACTGTGTGGTAAGACGTGGAATCAATTTCAACCTCTTCAATCAGCTGCAAAGAATGCCTCTGCTTTGTCTATAACGCTCGGAGCAAATCTTGAGTTCAACATCAAAGCAGCAGTGGCACAAGAAGAACTATTACTTCTCTTCATCGGATATTTCCCACCTTCACAACCTTTTCCCACTTTTTGGTAGTGTCGGATTTTGGAGGTTCTAGCATTAGTCGGGGTCCCTCCTTTTTGTGAAAGAATCTGAGCATTCCGGTGAGGACAATTTCCACGGGAGGGGGGAGAAAACCTCTGAGAGAGGTCGGCCGAGGAGGGGTTCTTAAGAATCAACTCATCTGCCCAAGAATTATTACAGACAGAAGGCAAACTATTTCTGCAAGCTTTGAGCAAAGAAAGGATCATATCTGTACTTAGCTCTTGTTGAATGATGCCCTTATTCTGCTCACTACTTCCAAAGCAGGAAGCAACTAGAATACCTGCTAGAACCGGCATCAACTCAGGATCACTGAAGAACACGAAAGGGAGGTCGCATACCTGCAATCCCACAATCCATTGGATTCCATTGTTTTAAAGTTGTTCTGTTTCATGCATCATGGGAATTTTGATTATTAAAAAATTTTGTTGACTGGCTGACCTTGTGCAGTATGGTGGGGCTCTTTCCCCAGCGAAGAACAGATTGATTCTCAGGGTGGAATAATGAAAAGTAGCCAAGTAGCGACAGTGATTCCATCAATAGCAGACCAACCTAAGCCATACACAAAGTTGTAGAAGCATTTATTTTCATGCCATGAAAAGTTTTTCTCATGGTGTTTATTGTTACTATAAATCCCATGATGAGAGAAATTTGGGCTTAAGGAGATGCAATCATTTCTAGAATAAAGGATATTAGTACTCTTTACACATCAGTAGTAATACTAGACAGACCATCCAGAACTAGCTGTTGGTCTAATAGACTAAGGAGTGGCAAGGTAATCCATCTTGTTCAACCACAGGTAAACCCATCCATAGAAAAATGATAATTATTGAATTACATCTATAGGGCGTTGCTAAATCCACCCCACATTTGACTAATTTCACTATGAGAATTGGACAAGTCTATCCATAAGCAAAGTTTGCATGTCCTCTTTCCTTTTTTACACTTTTAGGGGTAAATTTGTACATTTGTAAAAAATGGTGTGGATTTAGCAAAAATAGGGGTGCACAATGTACATACATTGTCATTGGTTGGACAATGTATCCAATGTTTTAATTTCTATTTTGATGTAAGCAACCGGTTGGACATGAGAAAAAGTTGAAAGGCATATCAGCAGTGCTATTTACTTGTAATTCTAATTTGGTCATAAAGCTCAACTTCAAAATACATGATTAGCTCAAAATGTAGAATAACAAATTGTTGTATAACATACGCAAAGTAACTATACAATCAAGCAATAATTCAGATCATTTCCTTGTTGAGTTGATCCAACCCCGATGATTTGGGAATGAGGACCGAGCTTGAATACTATTGGACCTGTGAATTACCTGAACCCGAATTTCATCCAAACCTGAACCCATCATGAAATATTTAACAAGTCTACCCTTAACTATACTTCCTTCGTCCACAAATAAACTTCCCGTTGCGCGTTACGATGTTTGACTGAAGTTATTTTCAAATCATTTTATATGAAAAATGGTGTAAAATTTAAAAATAAAAATTACATGTTAAAAAACTATATCAAAAGATCTACAAAACTAGAGGTGACATGACTATATTATTTTATCAAATGAGTGACGAAAATAGGCCAACAAAGTGAATAAAGTTTGACCTTGTGAATAGTGAACGGGAAGTTTATTTGTGGACGGAGGGAGTACAATATAACCTCATTAAGATGCTTTTGTTGATGTTCGAACTTCGAACCCATTTTATGACATTATGGCCTCAAAGCATTACAGGTAAAGAGAATTTTTCTTCAAGAAAATAAAATAAAAAACTTTTTGCATTACATCACCTGATCTGTTGCTAGCGCCCAGTTGTTAGTGCAATGAGAAAGCAGAAAGCTTGTTAAGTGAAAAAATTCCATTTTCAGGTCTGGCCTGGCCTGTGTATGATCAGAATAGGCGCAAACTAGAAAGGTTTAAAACAATTAACAAATAACAGCCATAATATTTTGTAAAAAATTTGTTTTGATAAAGGGGAAAAAGGAACTGACTAATCAATTACCAGCATTGTTTGTATAAAAGATATGTCTATCAGAGCCAAATTGTTCAACACCTTTAGCACTCCAGTTGCTACTTCTTCAAAATTAGATGGAAGAACATATGATGCCTGGTAGGTTAAAATGAAAAAGGATATTAACTTCACAACTTTTAATATGGAAAAATGAGATACAAATCTCAAGTAAAAATGCCCCCCCCCCTCCCAACCCACACAAACACAGGCTCTTGGAGTAACTATTAACTACAGTATGCAGCAATGCATGGTGAGAATTGAATGAGAGAGTGAAAATTCTGATCATTTCATCAACATTTATGTAAAAGGACAAGAAATTCCAGAACTATGAGTGGGGATCAAAGTCACCTACTGGTTCAGAGAATCTGTTATTAGCTTGTAATAGTACAGCAGTTAGCATGGATGGTAAACACACCAAGCCCGTCTCATGTACTGCAGAGAGAAGAAAAGCTACAGCAGGTTGTTTTGAGCCCAACTCATTTCCACTCTTTGATTCTCCTCCACTATTATTAACAACAGGGTTCTCATCCTTATGAGAAACAGAAGAAGAGCCTAAATTAGTGTCTACCACATCGCTCTGCATGTCACAGGATGCAATGGCAGATTCTCTCAAAGTATCCAAGGGTACACCTTCAAATGGCAACGTAGCATCCTGCCTACAACTGCTGGATGATAACTGTTTATCTTCTGCAATCTCAGCCAGTT